GATTTTCATCATCCAAGGTTATTATATAATCAAATATTCATTATTTGCATTCACTGAATTGTTTTTTAACTGGTTCATGTTTTTTCTTCTATATAGGGAAGGGAGTACTTGGCCTTGCAGTTCCTGGTTGTCCTGAAACTTACGAAGAACCACGCTCACAATCTAGACAGCAACAACAACAACGTGACAGCCACCAGAAGATTCGGCGCTTCTCTAAAGGTGATGTCATTGCCATTCCACCTGGAATTCCTTACTGGACCTATAACTATGGTGATGAACCTCTTGTTGCCATTAGTCTTCTCGACACTTCCAACACTCTAAACCAACTCGATTCAACCCCCAGAGTAAGTAATTGTATAACTATACGTTACATTATCCAAATTTTGATATACTTTTCTAACGTGTAATATTTTCTATTCAATTAATCACGTGTAAGTATGTGTTTGCAGGTATTTTACCTTGGCGGAAACCTTCTAGAGGCAGAGTTCCCCGAAACACAGGAACAACATCCACAAAGGCACAGTTCCCCTATTGGACGTAGAGGTGGACAGCAACAACAAGAGGAGGAATCCGAGGAACAAAACAAAGGGAAGAGCGTGTTGAGTGGCTTCAGCGCAGAGTTTTTAGCACATTCACTCGACACCAAGGAGGAAACAGCCAAGAAACTTCAATCTCCACGGGACCAAAGGGGTCAAATCGTAAAAGTAGAGAAGGGTCTTCACATTATCAGTTCTGAGTTGCAAGAAGAAGAACAGCAAGAAGAGGAAGAAGAACGAGAACAAAGACACCGCAAAGATAGTGAAAGAGAAGACGAGGATGAGGATGAGAAAGAAGAACAAGAACAAAGACAAACCAAACATAGCAAAAAAGAAGAGGAGGATGAGGATGAACCTCGCAGCCATGAGAGTCGAAAGTGGAAAAAACACACCGAAGAGAAGAAACGAGAATCACACGGACGAGGAGGAGAAAAACAAGAGCAAGAAAAGAAAGAGGAGGAAGAGGAAGAAATACAACGTCAACACAGCAAAGGAGGAAAGAATGGTTTGGAAGAAACTATTTGCAGTTCAAAGATTCGTGAAAACATCGCTCGCCCTTCACGTGCTGATCTCTACAACCCGCGTGTTGGTCGCATCAGCACTGTCAACAGTTTAACCCTCCCAATCCTCCGCAAATTACGCCTCAGTGCAGAATATGTTCTTCTCTACCGGGTATGCATAGTACTAATTATTTAACCAATGTATATATTTCCATAATATGATTAATTTTTATATTTCGATGTATGTATGTACATATAGAATGGTATATATGCTCCACACTGGAACAATAACGCAAACAGCCTCTTGTACGTGATTAGAGGACAAGGAAGAGTTAGAATAGTGAACAGTCAAGGAAATCCAGTGTTCGACGACAAGGTGAGAAAGGGACAATTGGTGGTGGTGCCACAAAATTTCGTGGTGGCCCAACAAGCCGGGAATGAAGAAGGACTTGAGTATGTGGTCTTCAAGACAAATGATAGAGCTGCTGTTAGCCATGTGAAACAAGTGTTTAGGGCGACTCCTGCTGAGGTTCTTGCAAATGCTTTCGGACTTCGAAAGAGTGAGGTTGCTCAAATTAAGTATAATGGAAATCGTGGCCCATTGGTTCAGCCTCAATCTCAACCACAATCTCTGTAAAATTATGCAATGCAATGTTGAAATGGCCATCTTATGTAACAATAATAATAAAATAAATTTTGGATGTGATGTAATCAAGAACTTGAGTTCTAAAAATATTAATAAAATTATTGTCTTGTGACATTTCTCATCCTGATCTTAATCTAAACTCGTATGCATATATATGTATAACTGCAATAACATTGTTTCAATATCACTTTTCATACAAGAATTTTTCAAGAGATCAATTAAATAATAATGATTCACAACAAGGTCTTGTGGCTTCGAAACAAAACCTCCACTGGTTCCTTTGGTGGTCGAATTTCGTAGCAGTCATTATAGAGAAATTTTGCATTACATAATTGACTCAACTCTATTTAATTTCTTCAAATGACCAAGATATTCCCAAGATTGGAAATGCTTGCTCAAAACCACATAGTCGTGTTTCTCTATTTAAAGATCTAAATGTGTGCAAACATTGAACCAAACACAGACTACTCATATAAAAAGCAAAACATGAAGTACTGATTTATACAAGCCATCCATCAACTTCAATGACATTTTGGATATTTATCAATCCAAATTGCATAACAAATAAGTGTTTTGGATATTTATCAATCCAAATTGCATAACAAATAAGTGTTTGCTTAAAAGCACTTACGAAATAAAGTTTCAAAACAATCAAGTGCTGCTCCAATAACAAATTTTGTGATCTGTTATATTTATTACAAATATTTCTGCAAGTACTTTGACTGCAATGCTAGGAACATGACTAGACCAGAACAAACCCTTCCATCACGGTAACAGCTTTCCCGCGCAAAAACACTCTTTGTTTCTGCTCATCAAGATGAAGATCAAGAACTCCCCCTCTAGCTGATGCCTGCACAAATATAACCTACAGATTAGTACAACAATAACAAAGAGAATCCAAATGAGGGAAAAGAAAGATTAGTAGTAGTAGTAGAACCTGATAAGCCTTAAAATCACACTTTCCCAGCTTCTTGCTCCAATAGGGTACCAAGCCACAGTGTGCACTTCCACAAACAGGATCCTAAAAGCAAATATGAGTTATTAACAACATTATCTCAGACTTTGAGTTGTGTTAAAACACTCGAAATCTGAAGCTACTTTACTTTGATTTTCTGTATTCATCTCTTCATTCATTGCATAGTTAAGGAGACATTATCAATTCAACTAAAGGAACATTATAATCATAGTTCTTAGTCACTTGCCTCATTGATTCCAAATTTAGGACAGAAATATCGACTGTAGAAGTCAAATCCTGACTCTGGAGGAGCAATCCCAGTAACAATTATTCCCGTTCCAGGACATTTAACAATCACATCAAGTTGTGGCTGTACCTCTGTCACATTTTGTCCAGACGCGACAACAACCTAGGACAAGTAATAAGATTAATAATAGAAAAACGGAACATGTTAGTGTTGTTCTTTCCATTAGTACGAACTAATTTCAATGGAAGACAGAAGGTTTAGGGTTTACAATTATATTATCTCCGATTTGTGTCTTCTTTATATCAATGATCAAAGCACCATTCAATGCCTCAGAAATGAGTGAAGTGTCATCAGAGTTGGATTCTGTGGTAGGATCTGCAGGAAAATCCAATTCAATATAAAATCCAGCCGGAGCTTCACCATTTTGCAGATTCGGTCCAACAGTGGCATCGATCGAAGGGATTTTCTTAACAGTTAAAATTCCAGATCGTGTCTCAAATTCAATAATATTGCTGTCAACTAAACCAGATGAAAAGAGTATGTGTGAAGCTGCTAATGTGGCATGACCACAAAGTTCAACCTGGAGTTTAGTATAATATGATCCAAAAGATGTTGTTAATAATAATAAGACATGTTTAAGAGAATTGGAAAGTTGGTAATGAAAAGATAGATCCTAACTTCAGTTGTAGGAGTAAACCATCTGAGACCATAACGATGAACAGAAGTTGCATGAATTGGAATCAAAAAACATGTTTCAGAAATATTGAATTCAGCAGCTAATGATTGCAACCATTCATCGTCTCTGTGTTGTTCTAATAAACAAACTGCTGCTGGGTTTCCTTTGAAAGCTGAATCTGTGAATGCATCCACCTGTGTATCTCATCACTCAAATTCACACACACCACAACAACTATTTTTCACAATAATAAAAAGACATTTAATAGTCGAACAAATAAACATGCATACCACGTAGTACTTCACAGGTTTCTTTGCCATTGATGATATTATTGCTGGTTTTAGCACTGGTCAAAGCTCTTGTTAGGTGAGTTTAGACTATGGACCACGTTCTCACAATTTGTAAGCAAGAGGAATGATTCCACAAAAACAAGATAAAACAAATGCGTGTTGGTCAATAGTTGTTAGAGTTTTATATCATTGGTCAATAGTTGTTAAAGTTTTAAATCATTTCCCATATGAGACAATTCATGCAGTGCAATATAATATAATAATAAAAATAATACAAACACTTTGTCCTTTTAAACTAATTCAATTGCGCTTTTAAACTAACTCAATTGATAGTTGCACAAATACATTCAATTACAACCAAGAGTTGCACAAATACATTCAATTACAACCAACTCAATTGATAGTTGCGCAGATACATCCCATTACAACGGTGTAGGTTCAAATTTGTTCCGCTTATTCACCTTTTAAAGAAAAAATTCTTGGTTTAGTTAAGTAAAATTTCAAGACTTTTTATGATTTTTGCAAATTGGTGTTCTAATCCATTATATTTGCAAAGTAATTGCACATATTGATAGTAATGAACTAGAGTACCTCTTGTACTTATATTAATACATTTTACATATAAAAAATGATAATTCAAATAATGAGATATTTCATTTTAATTTAGTTAAGAGTATCAATCAATATCTTAATTTGTATTTGTATGCTGTGTAAACATTTTTATGGTCTTATTGTAATTTTCTGCACACGAACTACTATGCATACTTTTTACTCTTTGGTCCTTATATATAATTCAGATACATTAACTATTTCATGATAAAAAGTATTTTTTTTCTTATAATAAGGACCTAAGGAATACTAGTTAAACATCTTGATTTAGATATGCATAAAGACACAAAATCTGATGATGGAAACTAGTGATAAATATAAAAATCTTATTTCATAAGATACAACAATGTAAGCCACCAACCAACATTTTATTGTTGACTGATGGTACCAGCCAGCTAGGTTGGAGAACTAATTTACAGTAATATTTAGGAAAATAAAAATAAACTAGATTGTGAACATGGTACAGAGGCAGAGACTAAAACATCCAATAATGTTAAGGTTTTATTGTATGGACAATGGACAACAGTTATGCCCGAACAAACTACCAACTTCCCTCCTTGGACATTCTCAGGAAATGAGACAGAGTGACCTTTGGGAGTTCAGGAGAACCCTTTTTCTTTTTCTTTATCATAGTCGCCTTCGACGTCTCCGCACCACCATTCATATCTGACACCGTGTCTGAAGCCAGATTGTAGAACTGTTTACAAAACATCAAAACAAAACTAGCATCATATTTTCCTTATACTAATAGAGCAACATATTTTAACCATTAACATAGGTAGCTGCTAATCTGATATTACCTCGCAAACTCCATGCAGCAACAATCTATGAAAAGGATCCTTGATTCTAAGTTCAAGAACATCGCCGTCTGTGCTTTCGGTTATGAAGGCCCGTAGACATTCCTAGGAGTAAACAAAGGTTCCATGTAAACGACAAGAAACATATTATAAACGAAAGGGAGAAATACAATAAGCATTGATTATTTAGCCCCTTTCCCAAACAACAGAGCTGCATACTTTTAATCAGGCAAATGCCTCATGAGTCATAACCCTCTATGAGTTCAGAATAACCAGGCATATACCTCATAACCATCTAGGAGTTCAAAAAGAGAGCTGCGGCGAAGTGCCTCTCTTGTTTTACAACCAATTCTACGCCAACCATTCAACACTGCCATCTTGTCAGCATCAATGTGACTTTCCTTCTTTTCTAAAGAATTTTCAAGGGAATGAATTATATTAACCTAGCAAAAAAATAAAACATATAGATATAAATGTTTGTCAGTTGTGACCATACCGCATCACATGAAGATATAATCACAATGCAATTTCATATGACAACAAGCATGTCAGCAATTAGAATAGAGATTACATTTTCACCTTGATCTAAACTAATTTCATTCCTCATGTTTGTACACATAGCTTCACATGAACATGATACAAACCATCACATTCGAAAATGCCACACAAACCATGATTAAACTAACAAGCTCTCAAGCACTATAACAACATAAAAATATAAACACAAATCACACCCTAGGCTATATCACAACCCATCCAATCATAAATAACCAATAAAGAAATGAGGGGATTTTTGAAGTTTTAACATGAGATTGCTCTGCCAAGTCAAAAGGCAATATGAATAAAACTCTTGCTTGATGAATCCAATTGCAAGTGCGCCAAATTACTTTCCTAAAAAGTAAAAAAAAAAAAAAAAAATTGAAGACGTGATCAGCAAAAGAGAGCAAGAAATATAACCTCTTTGTCCATGTCTATATTCCTGAATCTGTCCCACTCCTCCACATTAGTCAAGGAAAATGTTGAAGGTGGAACTTCATCACCTGTTTTATGAACCCGGTCATTATCAACATAAAAAAGGGAACATCGGGCAATCCATAGAAAAATGAAAAAAAAAATACTAAAGCTACTAGGAAATTGTGGTGATGAACTTGGGTAGTTTGCATGTGGTCATAGGCTCAAACCTCATTGGGACCATTGTACTCTCAGAGTAGAAAGAAAAATAGATTAGAAAGTGACTGTAGAATTATAATAATATCATTTGAAGTTTAAAGCCAGTTCATTTTCACAATGTACTGCATATTTGAGGTAATTTTGGATGCATTCCCCATCATTTCAACGCACTTAAATGGTAACAAAGCAAGCACACGGAGAAGAAAACAACGAAACTTAAAATAAACTCTCATGCACTGAACAATCCAACTGTTATTACCTAAATGCAACTGTAAACTTCAGCGAGAAGAGAAAAAAAAACATCCATACAAACATCATGAACTCAATAAACAATAACACACATCAGACAACACCAAAGAAAAAAAATTACCAAAAGGTGGTGGAGCAAACAAGCCTCTAATTTCCTCGGCATTCAAACGCGGGTACTAGTTCCATCAAGAGACGATCATTTAACCACCTACGAGATCTTCTATTCGTGACCTGAAACAGTTAATATCAGTCTCAAATCAATTCACAACCAAACAATAAAATCAGATAACTCATTCCATGTGATTGTAATCACACTTAAAATAAGTAAAATTATGAATTGCTTATAAAAAAATAAAAGTAAAATTATGAATTCACATAACTAGGGAAACAAAAAACTTATTTTTAATTTTAATTTTTCAATAACAAGATAAGCATAAGCATTAGACACACAGAGACCTTTCCAGTAAAGCTTTCAAGGAACTCTATCTTCTTCTCAATTGAATTCGCATTGAATTTCGCCCCATCTCCTGCAAAAACAAAACAAAGAACAAAGTTACAACATTTTGATCATAAGAAATAGATCTGCAGATGCAAGTTCAATTTCTGAAAATGAAAATAAAAAGGAAGGTGAGTAAATAACCTCTGGGATTGTTGATTAAATGAGAAGAAAGGAGAAGGTCGAGATCTCTGTGAAGAACCATGATGTTGTTGATGATTGAAGAAGAACGAAGCGGGATCTATGAGAGGATTGAAATTGAATGGAATGAAGTGGAATTTGGTATAACACGAAATCGCAAATACTTTATAATTTGAAGATAATAATAAATAAACTAGAGGTGTTTTTTTTCTTAGGCGGAGAATATTCTTGGAATGGAAGTAGTGGACCGGTTGTTTTTCTTTCTTTGGGCTGTTTTATATGCCACCACGTTTTTTTTTTTTAATTTCTTAAGACACTTCATATATTTTTAGTTTACCCGGCAAAAATATAAAAATGTCCAACTTTTAGAAATCTATCTCCGGAAGTATTCTTAGTCAGGCTATTGATGAACAAGATCTTATATAAGAGAAGAGAATTAATCAGATACGTATTTACGGGAGGATCCGTAGTTGTATCTCCGGTAACACCCAATTACAGATCATAGTTTAGCCTAAGAAATCTCAGATGTCACGCAGAAATATTTCAGAGTTGCACTTATGGGGACTCGTATATGATACGGTGGGAGAACTGACTTGGGTTTTGCGTTTTGTGTTCGCAAATGTTTCGGTTTAGCAAGAGTCGCCACCGACTTTTTATTTTATCCTAAGGAAAGGTCAAAAAGCACAGGAAAAACCTTTGAGATGTTTTCGTAGGTTCGGGGGGTAGATTATGAAAAGGGAAGGTGTTGGCACCCTTTTCATCCATGATTATCCATGGACTCTTAGTTACTTGTTTTAGATCACTTGTCTTTGATTTTCAATTGTTTGAAATGGTGCTTTGTATGTGTGATTTTGAAAATGTTTTGAAAAAGATGCCTTGTCTAGACAACCTTTGTAATGATTCTTGTTTGAATATATACAAAGGTGTGTGTCTTTTTGAAAAGATAATTCAATGTTTGTTTGGAAATTGTTTTTAAAGTTGTGTTGTGAAGTGTGTTTTGAAAAATGGCAAGGATGTTTTGCAAGATTTTTGATCAAGTAACTAAGAGTTGTCTACCCTATTTTACTCAAAGATTTTCTTGTGTTTTAACCTTTTTAACAGTGTTGTTTCACCATTGTGTTTGATGAACAACCTTGTGTTAGGATGTTTAAACGGGACAGGCGCGGGTCATCGTATAGACCATGATAGCAATGGTGTCAAGTATTTTTGGCAATTTTCTTGAGGGACTTGATCATTTTGTTTAGGCAACTCAGATAGCGTCATTGAAGGACTATGATCTTTTGTTTTGTTTTTGTTTTGCCAAAGTACTTGACATGCATATCATGGCCCATTTTTGAAGGCAACAAGTGGATTGAAACCCTAGGGGTGCAAGTGTGCATGTGTGTTATTTTCATGCTTTGTTTTTTTTATTAGTGATTGTCTACTTGTTGATTTTATCTGGCCATACATATCCTATTTACTAGCAAGCGTATAAAAGTAATAAAGCGCAGAAAGATAAAATCTTACACTATTACAACCATATTGAATTGCATAAAAATATAAATGCAAAAATAAAATAAAAGCAAGAAAAATGAGGGTCTTTCGATTGAGGCAGAAAACCCTTCGATTCTGCACTTTCTGGCTCTCTTCAATTTGGCCTGAAAAGGGTGAAGGAATGACTTTCGACTGAGGCCTCACGGTCAGCATGTTGTGCCTTTCGATTGGGACCAGTGGGACAACATGTTGTGCCTTTCAATTGGGTCCAGTGGAACCAGTATAAGATGTAATCTGCCTTTCTGCCTCCTTCGATTGGGCCTGGAGTCAGTGAGGAAGCCTGAGGCTTCGTTTCATACTCCTGTCTCCTGTTTATTTCGTTTGAGATATTAAATAGCAACATGGGCTAAGGCCATACTATCATTACCTCAGGGCCAGGTTAGTTCTTAAAGCATTTGTAATAAACCAAAGAGCAAAACCAAAAGGAGAGGCAATAAAAAACGAACTAAAAGGGTGGAAACGAAAAGGTAACAAACACTACGTACATGTTTAAAACGAAAAGGAAGCTTATTTACATGTTATGCTAGAAATGAAGGGTTCAAGGTTAAGAATGACTTACCTTGCTTGAGGCTGGAACGTGTAGTGGGCCTTTAAGTGGTTTCCTTGAATGCTTCTGGATTCGAAGGGAGGAACCAGGGGCTATGTCTTTGATACTGGAGTCGAAAGAGAAGAACAAGTGTGAGGTTCTTCCTACTGGATTCGAAGGGTAACAAGGTATAGGGATGTTTCAGATTCTAAGGGGATAAGTGTTTGGATTCTGGGTATGTGTTTGATGAGTGTTTAAGTGTTTGAGAGCTTTATGGTGTTTGAGAATTTTTCGAAGATTCGTTCGCCTGGCCAAGAAGTCCTCCTAAACATGTGTTGGAGCCTCTTATTTATAGGCAAAGTTGGCTGAAGCTTTTGGAGGGAAAATAAAATAATTTGAACAATTTGAGTAAACTGCTCTTTGTAGCCTTCGAGGGACAGTGCTTGTATGCTATTTCGGTGCAAGAATGGGGCAGTGTTTCAAGACTGTTGTGCAGCAGTTTTGGCCAGTGTACCATGCCTGAACTTGGCAGCAAGCATCTTTGAATATTTCATCCTTTCATTTTGACCCTCCTTCGACCAAATTCTTCTTCCAAACATATTGTTTGACTTTCCTCCAACAAGTGTCTTTCGAACGAATCACCTTTGTGCATCATTTGAAGGGGCCAAATGTGTGCCCCTTGGATGGGTAACCAAAACATGCCTTAAGGTGGGCTTTGTAAATCCTTCGAATGGGCCCTCAAGCACGTCCTTCGAATGGGATTCCGAGACATGTCCCTTGAATGGATCATGTATGCTTCTTTGAAAATGGCCAAATGTGTCCTTCGAATGGACTAGTAAGGTGTACCCTTCGACAGGGACTCATATGTATGCCCCTCAAGTCCACCACTATATGTCTTTTGAAGGGGCCATCAACCATGTGCTGAAGTTTGTCAAGGATGGAAATGCAGCATACTAAAGAGAAATGTTGTCCAGTCGAAGCTAGTACAAACATAGTCAATGTCTTGTTGAAGCCTGCATGGAGGAGGTATAAACTTTGTGACTCCAAGCAAGCACACAAAAGGTCAATGCTCAAACAAAGACTTGCACGAAGGGAGCCACATGCCCAAACGAAAGAGGCATGCAGGAGGCAAAACGTCCAGATTCGAAAGAGGCATACATGAGGCAAAAAAGTGCAAATCGAAGGACACCAAAAGGGAGCTTTTTTCCTTGGAATCGAAGGAAGTTATAGGAGGCTTTGTACCTTATGCATGCTAGCAAGGGGGATGCCTTTCGCGTGCAAGTTGTGGCTCAAATGAAAGTTTGTATGTAACTAGTCATTACTTTATGAGTCAAGGCAAGCATGGAGGGAAAGTTTGTATAGGCATGCAAGCATCAGACATCCAAACGAAACATGCAATAGGCAGTCATGGCATTGTGAACCCAGTAAGGCCAGAGATGCAATCGAAGGTGGCATGTAGGAAACTCCTGCCTTGTAAATCAAAGCCAGCGTGCCAGAGGCCAACGCCCAGTCGAAGGATGCAACCAAAGCCTGTATCAAAAGAGGCCAAAAGGCCAATCGAAGGAGCTGAAACGAAGAACACTTGTATTTCTCCAAATTTTGTCAAAATCATATTTTTATCTGTTTTCTCCCTTTTTGACAGTTTCCTTTTAATTTTGGTACTGGAAAATCCCAAAGTACTTGTGCAAGCTTGAACCTTGAGAATCCTTGTGAGAAAGGCCTTGAAGAATGAGAGGGCAAATTTTGGGGTACAACACCGTAGTTGTATTTCTATAATATATTGACACAAATATACGCGCTCGTCTCTTCCCTTTCATCACTTTCAAAAACACATTTGAAACAAAATCTCAAAACCACACTTACTCTCTTGTGCGAAAATCTCATCAGAAATCAACAAACAACAATCAAGCATCATCTAACATCAGCGCTGAAGCTTTATCAACCAACAAGAATCAAATTTTGAAGTGAAATTGTAAGTGTTTTTTTTAGTTAATGTAAATGCATTTAGAAAATGAGTTTTACGTTAGATAGTTGAAATATTTTTAGTGTTTGCACGCTTAGAAGTAGGGTTAAACGTCTTAGTAAAGGTTATTTTTTCGATCAGTGAATATTTTTATAAAGTCTTAGTAGCTTCACATTCGCCATTGACGAAGTAGAAAGTTGCAGGTAGTACCGGAGATACATTTTCGAGATTTTTCAATGTTTACATAAAAAATTGGAGATGCATCTCCGTATTAGTTTGTCTGCATTTTTTCCTTTTTTAGAACATGAGTTATTGTATAACATTTGTTTTGTACTTCTACAAGAGTCATGGCTGAAATATCATCTAGGTTAAGACACAAAGGGTTTGCACAGCAGGCTTCGGTTCAAAGGGAAATGAGTCAAGCATCCCAGGCTCCTTCTACCTTTGACAGATTATGGCGGAAGCGGCTACATGTTCCGGTATTCACGTTTCTCCGCCTTCTTCTTTGTCCTCCTGCAGCAGGTGAGATTCTCCTACTCATGCCCCCCGCCTCCATATTTACGTAGACACACTACTTCACATATGGTATTTGAGGTAGGAGAGACATCACACTCCTAGGCGACACCTGACATAGTCGGTGCCTGATGCATCCTAGCCTCAGTCCCAAGCAGGTACCTGAGGCATCACAGGCATCCCAGCCCCAAGCCAAGGCAGATGAGGCTGCACCTGCAATTTTAGAGGAGGGTCTTCCGATTTATCACTGCTCCCTCTATACCAGGACCATGTTGTTAGACATATTTGAGACGGAGAGGTAAAAATTGGTTGGAAATATTAACTTTGTAGTGTTTGTTTTATTTTCAAGTTTTGTTTGGTTGAATCAGTTTTGTTAAACCATGTATGCAGGAACATTATCCGCTAAAGATCTTTAATCATACGCAGGAGATCAGTCGCCCGACAGCACACAGTGGGCCATGGTTTTAGGATGTCTTGCATCTTCTAGGGTTGAAAGATTTGACTCTTTGTGGATATACCATCATTAACT